TGAGAGATTTCAACGTCAATCAAATTTCAACGTCGTGGTCGTTCGGACGGTGGGAATTTTGAGGTTTTGGGGCCTTGCAAGGGCCAGGACCACATAGGACCGGTAGCTGCCCGTAGGAGGCCGAGGAGGCCGAGCCTTTTTCGAAAAATTGAAACGGTGTGGGTGCACTTTTCTCGAATAGCACAGTACCTCGCATAGCAATCGTACGCGTTGTATTCGAATACAACGTGTACCCTTTCTATTCGGATTTCGAAAAGAATACAATTACTACTTTTTTTTTTGAGGTTAGCGCCTGCCCTTGTGCTCCTCGCCACTGACATGCTGCATGTTGCAGGTCTCTCTCTCTCTCTCACACACACACACACACACACACACACACACACACAACCACACCCACACCCACCCACCCACCCACCCACACACATACACACACACACGTGCACGCACACATGCACGCACACTCTCTCTCTCTCTCTCACACACACACACACACACTCACACTCACACTCACACTCACATACACACGCACACACATTCTCCTGTCTATGGATGGGGAGCGCCACCTGCTGGAAACTGGGTCCAGCGTCCCATAACATCGTGAATAAAGCACCAACCGGGACCCCACACACACTCTCTTCGAGTTGTGTATAGCGAACATGACAAAACATACATACAGCATAATCTTTACCTTACCCTTCCCGAACCACATCAACAAACGAACTACGGGCTGCGCACCCGTGCCCTCACAGTAAGTCAATATTGAATTGTGAGATGTTTTCAGCCCCAGAGTGAATTACAATTACACCCAATGCCATTCGACATTGCCTCCTGGCCCCCTTCTAGGTATACCCAACAAATAGCGTGTGGATGTATGTAGATGTACAGACCGTGCGTTACCATGTTAGATCTGTCCAGATACGTTCCAGGCGGGCTACCGATGCAATATCGAGTTTCCTGGGGGTATGCTTGCTCCGAAGGCTATCGCTATTGAGCAGGTTCTCTCTTGTAGCGGACAGGGTCAGGAGAGAAAAGTGGGAAAAATAGGTGTCCGAAGCGGACCACCACTGTTTGCAAGTCTCTATGCCGCCTCGTTCAGTCTGGGAGCCACGTGTGCATGAGGGAGGGGTGTGAAGCGGGCGGGCAACCGCGCAAGCCTCGGTTGAATCAACGGTCGCCCTAGCTCCAGAACAGTCAATGGCTCTGGTTCGAGAGGCTCGGCTGTTAGGTCCGCTAGCCGCGGCTGGTTCGTCCCAGAGGTTGGTCGCTTGCTGGCGGGGGGATCCTGTTCGCACCGGCGTTTCCGAGGGCGGTCGGGGCTATTGTAGTACCTGGTACCTAGCCAAGACTGAGGTCCAGGCCCTTCCGCGTGCTATGCTTGTGCTAAGCTACCGTAGTACGTGCCTGGCCACTTTTGCGACCAGGTTCGTTAGACCAACTGGGCTACCTGTAGGTCGCCCGGAGTAAGCCGTGGGGCTGAGGGAGGAGGAGAGGGAGAGGGAGAGGGAGAGGGAAAGCAATGTGCCTCGGCTGTGCCGATCTTTGGCGCCAAGTCGGCCTTCCACCACCTCCCCTCCTCTGAGTACGGCGGTAGTAAGTCAAGAGCCTTGGAATCACCCGAAGTCGTGTTGTCCGTCATGTCCCAAGCCACAGCGTGGTCATTCCCTCTGCTCCGTTTTCGTGTTTGTGTGTGCCTGTTTTGCCTGGTTTCGTTCCCTTTCCGTTCCTTTCCTTCACTTTGCTGCGGGATACTTGCTACTTTCGTTTCTCCCTACTCTTTCTCTTCTGTACCTCTCCTGTCTGGGGTTTTGCTCGTCCCTGCCTCTAGACTGATCAGGGGAAAAAAAAAAGAAGAAAAAACTCGTGTTCATCAGCGAGCTGAAGTAGGGCGGGATCTCCTCTCCTCATCCTGCGTGGTCGTCGTCGTCATCACCGTCCCTCCAGAGCTGCGCGTCTTTCGTCCTAGATAGATCTGCTTCTGTTCTTCTGAGTCCCTGGTCCAACTCAACTGCCTGCTTGCTCGCCAACCGCTGCGCGTCGTGCTGCTTGGATTGATTTGCCTTTCCTTCGCTTTGTTCCGCTTGACTTTACGACCGACCATAGGCTCGGCCAGGCGTTGCTTGGCTCGGTGAGGGCTCGCGCTGCCCGAGGTCCAGGTTTGGCAGCAGTAGCAGTAGTCGTAGTGGTAGTAGTACTTGTGCTGTACTTGGTTTTCGTTGCGTTTTCCCTCTGGGCAGGGGAGGAGGGTGGAATTGTTGGGAGTTGGGAGGAGTGGTTTGGTCTGCTGCGCGTTCTAGGGGGGGAGTGTGCCGCTGCGCGCTGGTCTGTAGAGAGCGTGCCGCACTGTTGTTCGCGTGCGGATGTTTGTTTGTCCGGCAGTGAAGTGCGTCGAGTCGGGTCTGAAAGAGGGAAGAGAATATGGCTGGAGATCGTCATCACTCGTTGCGGGTGGGTTGACATGATGATGATGATGATGATGATGATGATGATGAGGTGCTGAGCCGGCGACGAACGAGGAACTTTGGCGCGGCTTCGGATCGTCCTTCAGGAACAGGTCTGGAGCAGGTTGGGCACAGGTCAGGGCTCGACAGATTACGCTCATCGTCATCGTATTTGGATTTGTCTACGTCTGCTTCCCTGCGAACGCACGCATACGCGCGCTCTCCCGTTCCCTTTCCCTCTTCTTCCTCTTCGTTCCCCCCCCCCCCCCCCCCCCCCCCCCCCCCCCCCCCCCACCCACACCCCCCCCCCCAAATCCTCGATCTCCCCCCCCCCTTCCTCCTCTTCTTCTAAACATCTTAGAAACTTTTTCCAACCCTTAGTTGCGCTACTGAACCCAGAAAGGTAACTATAGGCTAGAGATCCTTGACTCCAGCGGAGTAATCCCCCCTGCCGCCTCCTAGCCCTACCCTTGTTTTCCTCTATCCATCGTCTCCTTCCCGCCCCTCTTTCCTCCCCTCCTCTCTCCTCGTACCCTCCTCTATCTGCACCTAACTATATATCTATCCCTTTATAAATCTATGTATTTTCTTTCCTAGTCGCTCATCTCCTCTCCTTCTTTCCGATTGATTTGTCTCCCGCCTTCCTCGATTCTATCATCCCTGCACTCCTCCTGTCTCTCCTGTTAAGCTCATTCTTGTCCTCGATTATAGGGACTCGGACCTGGGCTTGTGGGGTTTGCCGGCCGCAACTGGGCTTCCTGCTGCCCCGTCTCGTCACGTCGACTTCTCCTGTCTTCAGCAGGAGCTCCTCCTCACAGCAGTAAGTTGCTTGGGTCTCGGGGTTTTCGTCTTGCCATTTGAAGATCCTTTTCCAATCGCTTTGGAGTCTTGGTCAAGTCTCTCCACTCACCGTCTCGGGGACTTAACCAGCTGTTGTTCGAGGGGTTGAGGTGTTCTAGTTCGATTTCATTTCATCACCGTTCATTGAAATGAAACTGGCTGAATTACTGACTACTACTTAGACCTGTGTCTTTACTGATTACTAGGGAATTACTGAGTAATAACAATGTTAACAGTATTAATAACAGTACTGAGTCTTGGCTAATTACTGAGCAATAATAATATTAAGAATATAATACTATATATGACTACCGGTAGTAGGGCGTATTAGTGTAGTCGTAGTAGAAGCAGCAGCCAGCAGCAGCACGCTCTTAGTGATACGCTCAGTGTTAGAGCTAGAAGGGAGTGCATACATAGGTATATATAGGTATATAAGTATATATAGATATATAGGCATATAGGTATATAGGTAGTACATATATAGATGAGTAGATGCATATATAGGTTGATGATATAGATATCTATATATAATTATATATGGTATTAGATACGTTTCTCGTTTCTGCATATCTGTCTCTCTCGAACTTGGCGTCTATTTCTCGGAATGGTTAACCCTTTGTTCTCGCCCGTTTATATTCTTCGGTCTCTCTCAATGCAGTATGTTGCCTCTTGGTGGAGTGGTTTGGATTGCGCTTGAATCTCGCTCCGATATTTCCCTGTTGTGGTTGGGAATTTGACATAAATATAGGTATATTTCGAGGAGTATTATATACACGTAGTTATATATATTGATATGAAGGGGAGTATAAATAGGAAACCGATTAGGAATATATATGTGAATGTGGGAGGAGTGATCATGTTTGTGGTAGGACCTGTCGTCGATGTAGCGATGTGGATTGGTTGATTGGGTCTTTGCCGTATTAGGAAGGGAGAGGAGAGATACTTTCAGTAGTTCTCTATTGGGTGGGTGGGAGGGAGGGAGGTGGGTGGGTGGGTGGGTGGGAAGGTTAGGGAGAGAAGGGTATAGAGTAGGTGACTAATCAGAGGTGCTGCCAAAATTGCTCTTTGGCTGTTCGCGTTTTTTTTTTTTGGATGTGGTTGTTTTTGTTTTCTCTTTTTTCATACTTGTTGAGCACCGTGCTCGACCGGGCCCGGTCTATGGATTAATTTTTGTACATAGTCGCGTCGACGAATCGATTGGATTGATTGGTGGGTTGGTTGATTGATTGATTAGTTGATTGATTGATTGGTTCAGTGAATATTGATTGATTGCAGGGATGGTCGATCGATCGATTACTCTATTGATTGATTTGATCAATTGATTGATGATCGAGTGATTGACTGTTCGTTGCCATGTAAATTGTGTGCTTGTAGGGGTATGATGATGTTGAGTCTCGTCCATCACGTCGGTATCCCGCTTTGATTTGCGTCATCACCCGCCAAAATTCCCTCTCCTCCCCCAATCCCTTTTGTGTGAGTCGTGTCTGTAACCCCCCGCCCTCCCTTCTTCCTCGCCTCCCCTCAGTACCCTCCCCTACGCGGCACCAGAGCGTTATATTCCCGATATTGCCGTTTTCAACAGCAGCGCCAGCAGCAGCCCTGAACCTATTTGTTTATCAATTAGCTCTACTTGGAAGATCGGTAATCAGATCAATCAACTCCCGTGTCGAGAAGCAGGGTGCGCTGGAGCGGAAGGCGGGAGGGCGCAGCGCGGAAGCGGAAGCGGAAGGTGGGAAGGCGCAGCGCGGAAGCGGAAGCGAAAGGTGGAAGGAAAAGGGCGGGAAGGAAGGTTTCCAGGTGGGGGCGAGCTTTCCAGGTCGGGTACGGGACGGCGGAGAGGAGGTGGTGTGGGGAGGGGAGCGGAAAAGGAACGAGAGGAAGGAGGAGCGTCGCCAGTCATCTCTGCAGGTCTCCGCTCGTCAATCGCCGAACCTGACAGCAGGAAGTTGCCGATAACTCGGTCACTGCGGGAAAGAAAGAGAGAGAGAGAGAGAGAGAGAGAGAGAGAGAGAGAGAGAGAGAGAGAGAGAGAGAGGGAGGACGGAGGAAGGCAGGGGACCGGTCAAGGGTTGTCGGCCTTCGTGCGATCTTGGTGGACATGGCTGTCGAGCCTACGAATGAGCCTTCATCGGCAGATCCGGGAGAGGAATCAAAGGGCGCAATTAAGGTCGCCACGGTGACAACGACGTCGGCGAAAACGACGCAGAAGAAGTATCCTTTTTTATTTTCAATGCTCGCGATGGGCGTCCCGCGCTCCCAGTAATGTTGTCTGTGAATGGTCAACCATCTTTGTCTCTCTCTCCCTTTCCCTCTCCCTTTCCCTCTCCCTTTTCCTCCCTCTCTCCCCCTCTCCGTCTCTCTCCGTCTCTCTCCCTCTCCCTCTCCCTCTTTACGAGTAAGGCGAAGTTTTTCCCTTGAATGTCTGTTTCGTTGAGTCTATACTGTTTCGTTGATTGTCCTCCTTTCGTTAGGATTGGTACTGAGAAATACCAACCAATTCCAAATGCTGCGAAGCTGCCCGGGTAAGTCAACTTTATTTTGGGAGAGGATTCGGGGATTTACATGATTCTCTGAACGTCACTCGCCTACCGTCCTCATGCTCCTCGATGAGGAGTTACGTGTCTTTGATACCTTCTCGGGGAACGGTGATCGCACGAAGACAGTGGATCCGCGGAGCAGTGGCAGACGTTCTGTGACCTTGACCAGGTCACTATCAATCATGCCGTTGGTTTCTTTGGAAGCTTCGACCTTCTTGGCAAGGGTAGTGTGTGTGTGTGTGTGTGTGTGTGAGAGAGAGAGAGAGAGAGAGAGAGAGAGAGAGAGAGAGAGAGAGAACTCGGAGAGAAGGAAACGAGAGGAAGGATGGGGGAAGATGCTGAGTTCGACCACCTCCCTTGGGAGAGATGAGAGGGAGAGGGTGGGGGGAGTCAATCCGAAAAGATCAAGATTCGGTGTTTTCGAGGACGGTGCGCGGCCTGCCTTCGTGTGTCGAAGACAGGCTAAAAGAAGAGACAGCGGGCGAGACAGTCACGGATACTTACACACAGACACACACAGACACACAGAGAGAGAGAGAGAGAGAGAGAGAGAGAGAGAGAGAATGGAATCGGGAAGAGGTCATCGACTCCTCTTAGTTGGCGCTTAATCTCTAAGACGGTCACTGGAAACTGGTTATCGTAAATCACCGCGCTCAAGACGCGATGCTCGCGCTCACCGCCATCGATTCCGTCTCTGTTGTATATGTTCGCTCTAAAACGTGACCTCGAGATTTGATCGTGATTGGCTGTGAATTATTGCTATATTATCTTATCTTATAGATTCTGATGGTCATTATTATGCTGTCGATCAGCGATGTCTGAGAATATACTGTCGCATCGTCGGCGATCATGGATTATATACCATCCATCCCCTTCTTTCATTGCTTTGGTTTCTTTTGACTCGTTAGTCAATCAATCAATCAATCGATCGATCGTTACCGTTCGAGCGCCGTCGATGATTGCGCGCCATCGATCTCACAGGTGTTCTTCTCGCCAATGGCTTTCCGCTTTAATTTACCTTCCCCCCACCGTTCATCTTTGTCTAGTCCACTTCCTGATCCTCCTCCCTCTCGTAGTCCTTCCTACTCTCTCCATCTCGGTGCATGTATATCTTCTTTCTCTTGATTATCATCTCTACCCGTGAATCGTCCGCGCGTCTATCACGTCGATTCCTTCTCTCTCTCTCTCTCTCTCTCTACACGTAAATCGCCTCTTATTAGTAATCCCCTCCCTTCTCCCTCGTTCTGCGCGCGCTTTCTGCCTTCACGTAACTCGATTTCGCTCCAGTCAAACGACTCGTTGGTAGTATCATTGGGGGAGAATTATGGCTTGACACTGGGTTTTGAGTTGTCCATGCTCGATGAACTTGGCTGGGTTTGTAGACCATATGCTTTTATCCCTCTCTAATTGGTCATAGTAACCGCCATGCAGGCTAATAATTACTGCAATAGGGTCGTATCACGTGTGCGCCTTGGACTTGTATGACGATTTGGGATCAGCGCCGTCGTCTTCTTTAAACGAATCCACAATCACCCATTTCGTGCTCATCATTGTCTTTGCTGTTTCTACTTTTTAATGATACCATTACTGATTGATCTGACCGCGAAACTCCATCCCCCCCTTTTGAAATATCTATGCGCGCCGAGTCCTTTTGTCTTTTGCCAGACAGCGGCACGGCATCTTTGGTCAGAAAAATAAACGATGAACGATCTGCAGGCATGACATCGCGCCGCGCCGCTGGTAGTGGGCTCCTCGTGTATGAGATTCGGTTTTCGAAAGATACGGCAATTCTGACGTGTCGGGTTGTCTTGCTACTTGCGTGTTCAGTTTCGATCTTTGTCTTCATTCCATTCCGGTAGAGGCGAGATCGGGGTGATACTTCATCGATAAAACCGGTGATACTTCTGTCACGTACGTAAGTTCCCCACGAAGCCGTGATGATCATATGCGATTATCTCGTTTGTCGGTATCTTTGTTGTATGAGGTGGCAATCTTGATGCGTGCGTAACATCGTGCTGCCATCTGTACATGAAATGACAGTTTATCATCCTCGGTGTCGCCGATCGTTATCGCCAAGAGAGAGAGAGAGAGAGAGACGTAGATAGGTAGATAGATAGATAGATAGATAGATAGAGAGAGAGAGAGAGAGAGTCGATCAGCTCCATGATGGGCAGTCCGATTAGGTTGTGATTAAGTGCTGTGGCGTAGCGGTGATTATGTCCTTCAGCTGCAGTCATGTCCCGACCTCCTGTTCTCTCCTTCGTCGGTTTCTTCCTATGCGCCCTGATGGACAATCTTCCCTCTGAAGTGAACGGGGCGTTGTATTACATGAATGTACATATATATCATCCACGTGGCCGGCTCTTGTACGTAAGAACAGGCGGAGCTTTTTTCCTTTCCTTTTTTGTTTTGTCTTTTTTCGCCTTTTTGCGCTCCGATACACGGTGCGACAATATATTTTTGACCGGAAAATTGGCTTGAAAATAGCAAAAAAGATGCACTGGCGCCGCTTTGTCTATTGTCTAGTTTGTTGGACGAAAATAGTTGAAGTCTGTTCTTGCATTGGCCTCTCTCGTCAACTTCTTTGCAATAGAAAAAGAAGAACGAGTCCGCTGAAAAGAGAGAAAAGAACATTCATTCGACTTGCGTGAGCGAGCAAGTGAAAACATTTTACATTATGAAAGAAGACTGATCTTTGTTTTGTCCTTCGGCTTATATGATCTGAACGTTTCTTTTAATCCGTTTTGTTTAATTTTAAAATTTGCTATTAATTCACTTTTGTGAGGCTCAACGGATATTCTTTGTGGTTAAGATTTCTGGGGTCTAGTATTTTTTGTCATTATTAGTACTCGCTTTCTGGCTGGAATTTCGGCGATTTTTGAAGCGAAATCGTCAGGTCCTACTGGCGCGAATCTGGGAAGACCCTGACGATTTCGGTTAAAAAAACGTCAAAATTCCGCCCAGAAGCGTCAAATTTTTAAATGGCCAAAGAGGTATGTAAAATAATAATGTACGGATAATTCCTTATTATCAGGTTATCAATTATAATTTTACAATTTTCTATATTAGTATATATGAAAGTACATGATCTGGGGGTGTTTTACGGTGTATGCACGAAGTTTTGGACCTTTTATAATTTATTATCAGACGTATTTATTTTTATATATTATATGTGAAAGTAAGTGATCTACGATATTTTATAATTCATTATTGCTGGAAAAAAAATGAAAATTATCATCAGATTATCTTTATATATTATATGTGAAAGTAAATGATATACATATATATATTTTTGGTTTTGTGGCCCGATAGACCGCGGATCAGATATTAAACTGATCAGAAGAACAGATACTACACTTGATCTTACTTAACCAAAAGGCCGAGAAAGGTTATAGAGAGATGTTTTACGTTGTTTGCACGAAGATTACGAGCTTGTATAATTTATTATCAGATCATCATTTATATATTATATATTATTATATTTAAAAATAAAACTGATCTAGGCCTGTTTTATAGTGTTCGCGCAAAAAGATTGGAGTGTTTTTCTGCGAATCAACGATTGGATTCTGGAGGGGCAGCAGATCGAGGGTGTGGGTATTCCTCTGCGTAGTTTTGTCTTTCTCGTTGTTTGTTTTAACTTTTTTTTTCCCCTTTCCCCATAACAATATAATCCTCGTCCTTTTTTAGAAAATTTTCAAGAAGTTTCGTTGTTTTTTTTAGTGTTTTTTTTTTCCCTTTTCCCCATAACAATATAATCCTCGTCTATTGTGATCTCATGTACGGTACATCGATATCCACGAATGGATCTGGTCTCCTTGACGGTGTGGATTCATCTCTCGTCCGCCTTATTCACGAATTAGTTCTGTACAGCAGGCAACGTGACACGGTCTGGACAGTGACAGTAGTGAGTTTTTTTTTTTTTTTTTTTTGGTCAGTAGTGAAGTTTGGAGCAGTATGTTCTGTTATTTTTATTAGCATTTTGATTAATTTAACGATTTTAATCTGTTTTAGTACGTTGACATGTTGTATGATTTTATTGTGACGAGTTAATCTTTGTATTATTCCCCTTACTGGTGAAGATGATTTGACCATTTTCAAATTTCGAATAAGCAAAATGTTTAGTGGAGTCCTCGTCTCCTGCGTCGGTTTCTTAAGGCCTCGCTCCACGGCTTACCAAATGTGCAAAATGAGAATGAATCTTCCGCTAAAACCTGGAAAGGTACATCGCCATTTTATTGTCTTATGTTCGTGGGTGGAGTGAGGCCCTTGATCACGTTTTTCTCATCCCAGTTTCTTAGATAGATTTTTGCCTTACAATTTTTTAAAGATGTGTTCCGCCGGTTAACATCTTTCTCTGGTCTCGTACTGCTCGCCAACCCCTTTCAGCCACCCTTCTTTTTTTTTCTGTTCTTAATCTGACCCTCTTTGCCGATTTGCAGCCCGACCCTTGTTTCTCCAGCCCTTGCGCCTGTTTTACTTCTCTGGCGTGTTTTCAGCGACACCTCTTTTAGCCCCATTTGCCCTCTAATTTCATCGCTTCGCCGGATTTACGGCTATCGTTTTCATGTTTATAAACTTTATAGCTTAATAAAATGATTATTGTTGTTGTTGTATGACGTAATTTTGATTGACAGAGGAAGAAGACAAAAAATTGAACTCAATTTTCCCTGGTTTCCTTTTCTCCTTTTTTCTTTTTTTCGCATTTGCGCTCTGATATTCTTGTGACGATATATACGTGGGCGGCCTTGTACGCAAGAGGTTCTGAACGGGGGGAGTTGTAAGGAAGAAGATTAAAAACGAATTCAGTTTTTCTTGTTTTCCTTGTTTTCTCTGTTTTTCGCTTTGGCGCTCTGATATCATGTGACTTCATAAGATATAAAAAAACGAATTCATTCTTTTTTCTTTTTTTCGCTTTTGCGCTCTTATATTCATATGATGATATATATTGACGATATATTTACATTACAAGTATTTTAATGTTATATGCCGACGAGGTAACTTCGATTGACAGCTTCTCTCTTGTTTTTTTTTTTTTTTTGTATTTCGATCATTGGTTGGTGATTTGATTCGCATGACTGTTAAAACAATTCTCTCTCTTTTTTTTTTCCGACCATTTCGCAAGGGCCATGCTAATCTTTCTTCTCTGGATCGTTCCATTTTAGGGGTCGAGTAAGCAAGCTTACCCGTATGACCCCCCCCGTGGCCCGTTCCAATTTTAACGGACGTCCTGAAGGACAATATCAGTTAATTTTGGATTACTGTCTACGATGCTTTTTGGCGTCGTACAACTTTTTTTTTTATGTTTTCTTTCCCATTTTTCTTTTCTTGCTCGTCAGCCTTTTTTTTTTTTTGGTCTATCTCGCCCTTTTTAACCCACAGACCAAACCACGACGTCTCACCGACGCGACACTTCGGTTACGAAAACGCAACTTGTTACCAAGGCGCAATTTCCCATGGACTTGCCCTGCTCTTTTTTTTTTTTATAGATTTTTTTAAATTAAGACATCAACATTGTACTGACCGGTGCCAGGCAATTCACAATGATTTTCTTCCTCGCTGTTTTTTTTTTTTTTTTTTTTTTTAACATAGTACCGACCGGTGCCAGGCATCAGCATTGAACTGGTCGGTGCCAGGCAATTGACAATGATTTTCTTTCTCTCTCCCTTTCTTTTTTTTTTTTTTTTTCCTGAAAAGGCGACGACCTTCAGATATCAGCATTGAACTGGCCGGCCCCAGGCAATTGGGAATGTTTTTATGCTCTCTCTTCATCTGAAGGTATCTGGATTCAACTTGAGTCTGAATTTCATCATTTCAGGGGTGTACAAACTGAGCTAGGCCCGTTGGTCTTCCCCTCCTTTTCACCCATGTAGTGTAGAGGACTAGAGACTCTGGATTACCTAAGCACGATTTCTCAATGTCTTCCAGCCCTTATTTTCCCCTTGGGCTAATATATAGGACTCGTAGAGTCTACAGGGTCTCTGGCTTACCTGATCATAGGTTAAAATTGTCCTCCTATTTTTTTTTTATTTTTTTTTTTTATAGGGGCGGCTCAATCTCCTCTTTTTCTGATGTACTGGTGGTTTAATGTCGCTGACTACATAGAGAGTTTGTTTACCTCGGGCAATATCAGAGACCAACATACTATAGTTAGTATAGTACCTGTCTCTTATACACATCTAGATGTGTATAAGAGACAGGTATAGTACTAAAAATATGTTTTAACGAGAATTATCCATATGTTTTCAAGATAATTATTGATATGTTGAGAGTTTGTTTACCTCGGGCAATATCAGAGACCAACATACTATAGTTAGTATAGTACTAAAAATATGTTTTAACGAGAATTATCCATATGTTTTCAAGATAATTATTGATATGTTTTTAAAGAGAATTATGCGATTATCCATATGTTTTCAAGATAATTATTGATATGTTATTAAAGAGAATTATGCGTATGTTTTTTTTTAGGAGAGATGTCCAGGTATGGAATCTTTAAAAAAGAAGTCAGCGAGGTTAGTGCCCAGCTCAGTGGCGTACTATTCTTTCGCCTTTTACTAAAGAATACCGTGGGCTGAGCACACGGAAGCAGCTTACGTGAATTTTTCACCGGCTTCCAGATTAGTCTTTCAAAAAAAAAAAAAAAAAAAAAAGTCAGCGAGGTTGATCTCCCTGGCTTTGTAGGGGTATGATGTATGTTGGAATTGTTTGATTAATATTGTCACAGCGGACTACTTCAATATTTTTCGTATCTATTTTTAACAGACGTTTACAATTTTACAAATTTGAAATTTACGAATTTATAGATTTGGAGATGCGCCCCGACGGTCTTCAACCGAATATAACGCTAGGTCATCATCGCTGTGTACCTATACTGAAGGTAGTACCAAATACGGATGTAATGACCGGGCGTTCTATTCGGTTGAAGACGGTAGCAGCTTTGATAGCTAATGACCGAACTGTAACGACCGGGCGTTCTATTCAGGTGAAGACGGGAGCTGCCGTGATGGCGACTGTTTCTCTACTTTTAGTTTTCGGTTCTCTCCAAAAAAAAAAAAAAAGGTGCGTTGTTCCCGGGGGAAGTCGTTAAAAGACGTTAATCCCTCTAGCAGCCCTGATCGCTACGGGCGTGTTTTTTTCACTCTCCTTTTAACTCTGGTCAAGCAAGGGAAACCAGTTTCATTTTATTATTATTATTATTATTATTATTTTTCAAGTCTCCTCCTATATCTACTCTTTCTTTTCTTCTCCTTTTCCCCTTCTGTTTTTTTTTTTTTTTGAAACCAGGTAGCGGATTAGGCAAAGCACTTAGTGTAAAGTGGAGCGCACCCATTGACCTTGGTTATGCATTTCCGTCGTGTGAAAATCGACGGGGTAACGGCTGGGACCTTGCCCCTGATGAGTGTGAGCACAGAGAATCCGACAAGAAAGTCTTCGGCTTACCATCTCTCCTTCTCTCTCCCCTGTCTCTTCCCCCGGATGAGTGTGAGCACAGAGTCCGACAAGAAAGTCTTCGGCTTACCATCTCTCCTTCTCTCTCCCCTCTCTCTTCCCCCTGATGAGTGTGAGCACAGAGAATCCGTCGAGAGAGTCTTTGGTATAGCATCTCTCGTCTCTCCTTCTCTCTCATCGTACCCACGTGTCTTTTCTACTTTTTTGCGTTCTTATGTTTACTTTTGTTGACGTTGTCTTGGCTAGTATGTACCCCGTTACTTGTCCTTTGCCAACGGCTGACCGGGCAGCTCTGTATGACGATATTATTTATATATGTGTGTGGGTGTGTGTGTGTGTGTGTGTGTACATATGCATAGATAGATATGTATGACAATACGCATCATGTATTTTCTGATAAGATCATCCATTTCTTTTCCATTTCTTTGCGTGGTTCTTTGTCGCATTTACAGTGTAGGGCAAGAAAGAGTCGGGTGAGTATGTGTATATTGCGGGCATGGTTGGTGGGTAAGGAAAGGGGGGGGCACCTAAGGTGGGGTTTGGTTAGTGACTGAGGGACCCTGTCTGTGTGGTGGCGCGGTGATTGGCTAATGAATTGGGGGCCCCTGGCTGTGTGGTGGCTCGGTGATTGGCTCATGAATTGGGGAGCACTGGCTGTGTGGTGGCTCGGTGATTGGCTAATGAATTGGGGGGCCCTGGCTGTGTGGCTCCCACCCGCGTGGGGTCTTTAAGGGGGGGAGGGAGTGATGCAGAGATGCGTTGTTTAGCTCACTGGAGCGGCATTTTCCAGTGAAGTGTGCGGTGGAATGTCTATGGACGTTTCCATGAACTCGTGGTCGAATGCATGACCGAGTGAATGATCGACTGGATGATATCGTATTGAACGGGCAAGTGAATGTGAAAAGATCGCGAGTACGAGGAAAAGCTAAGAATTTAAGCGCTCTTTTGAGGAGGGCCACCAAAAAAGGAATACAAACGAAACCAGTCCTTGACTTAAATTCGATGTGGCAGAGTAACATTTTGCTATTCGCGTGAAGTTCTCCTCTCCTTCGCGGAACTCGATGCCTGCAAAACACGTCCAGAGGGCCTCGATCCCGTTATCTGGAGGTGAGTGCACTCTTTAAGCAAGCTCGCAAAGAGATTATCTACCCTCCCTCCCGTTTCCTCCCGAACCCTCATTGCCTGGCTAAGCAATCCCCTTTTTTTCCTGCCTAGACCACACACACACACACACACACACACACACACACACACACAGAGTTCTCTTTTCCTGGCTAAGCCAGTCTCTTTTGTCCTGGTACACACACACACACACACACACACACACACACACACACACACAGAGAAGCAAATTAAGCCCCTTGATTCCTGTTTTTTTGACAGCCTTTCCTGGTCGCAAAGGTGGGGGAAACTGTTGGGAACCCATGGCCTGAACCTGGGGAAGAATTTGACAGCCATCTTCCCACGAACACAGCATACCCTCGTCATGACTGTATCGGTCCATGAATATGGCTTGTATACACATGATTGGGGTAATTTGACAAGAATCTTCCCCTGAACACAGCACGCCCTCGTCATGACTGTATTGCTCCAGGAATGTGGCTTGTATACACGTGCTTGGGGCGCATTGTGCAAGGGGGAAGGCATTACATGACTGTTTCGCTGCAGGAATTTTGCTTGTATACACATGATTGGGGCACATTGTGTTAGGGGGAAGGCAGTAGCATCTCGTGCAAGAGTGTGGAAGCTTGGATCCGGCTTTGTCATCTTTCTTCCTTTTTCTTAAAAAAAGGAACAAAAGAAAATAGTGGAAGCTTTTGGATGAATGGATGGTGTTATTGTATTTGGTATTTTAGACCGATCTTCTATTTTATTTTATTTTTTAATCAGTTTGCTGAGTTCGTGTATTTTGTCCTTTTCAGCTGCAAAGAAACGTTTGACTCGTCAGGAAGCGAGGGAGGAGCGTATGTTCGATTCTTTGTTTTTGTTTTTGTTGGATGTTTGAATCACTCGGGCATGGCAAAGTTTTGGTCGCTGTTAACGGACTTTCTCTGAATGGAACGCATGGTCATTAATAGTCGTATTCGGTGCATCTTTGATCTATAGATTTCTGTAGATTGTAAGGACTGTACGTTTTATTCCTGGGAAGACTGGTGGTCCTCTGGGAGGGAGCACAATGAACTTGCTTCTCTGGAGTGCTCCTTGTCCCACAGGGAATTGAGTGAAGTTTTCTGTATGCTAGAAAATATTACACCTGTACTTCAAAATTTCTTGAGCCTTTCGGAATCTGTAGTTAGTCATGCAACGATCTCAACTGACTGGCACTACTGTATATGTGGGTGTGGTCCACGCGTGCCTTTCTTCTTTGGCAGGGATTCACCATCGCCTGAGATTATTGACAATGGGACCGGCAGCGGATCAACAGCAGCAGGAATAACGGGAGGAGGAGCAGCAGGAGGTGCGGGAGGTGGAAGTGGACCGGGTGCGGCTGGTGGTTCTGGTAGCGGTGGATCCCACTGGGTTGCACAGCGCGGAATTCGACGCGATCGAGACAAGTATGACAATCGCCCTTCTGTCTGAATGCTCCTCTCTCTCTCTCTCACTTTGATCTAGAGAATTATGAGAATCACCGTTCTATCCGAATGCTCCTCTCTCTCTCTCTCTCTCTGGCCTCTTTCCACAGTGGTGGATCACACTGGGTTGCACAGCGTGGAATTCGATGCGATCGAGAGAAGTATGACAATTACCTTTGTATCCAAATGCCCCCCGCCCCTCTCCCTCTCTCTCTTCTCTTTGGTCTTTTTTTGAAATTAACCCCCCTAGGCTGAGTGATGGTAGATCATGGGAGTGGGGGAGATGAAGGTAAAATATGGAGGAGAATCTTCTTTGAAGTTCTTTCTCTTTGAATGCTACATTTTCTAGCCGATTCTCTGTGTCCCGTTTTTCTCTGTTTTAGATTTTCAGTCCTTATCTCTCACCTGATGACCTTGGTAGTAGGGGCTCTTCACGGGTTCACAAAGCGTTGAAGAATTGCCATGAAGAGGAAAATAATGGACCTTGCTTTACTTTGTCCGCTTTTGTTTCCCCTGAAATCAGATTCGATTTCTTCTTCACTTCGCATGCATACAAACAAATGGCATTCCACACTGGTGCTGGGCCCCCACACAAAGCTCAGAGATAATCACACCGAGAACAAAGTTCAGATACAAACTAGCTTCCAACCAGCTATGACGCTTGAGCGCCGCACATCCTCTGTCCGACAGTGTGTTCACCCAACTGTTCACACGCACTCAACTCCGGATCTCCCTGGATATCCCACCCCCCTCTTTCTCTCTCTCTCACACACACAGCTCGTCATCCTCGATCCCTGCTCTTTAAAGTTCAAACCTGTTCTCTCCTTTGTGCAGTGAATTTGTGACAGGCCTGGGGCTCTTTACCAAGTATCATGCCAATTTAGCTAGATGGAGTCTAATTCTCTTACCGTGGTGGTATATGTTATCGGAATCGAATAGTCCTTAATTAAAGTTAATTTCCTGCTGCAGTGTGTTGTCTGTCTTGTCCTCGCTGGAATGTTGTGCAGGAAGGCAGAAAGACAGATGTAGAGATTCCTTTGACACATGTCAAGCTTCTTTCGTGAAGAGATAGTATTATACGAGAATGTCATTTGAAGTAATCTGCTAAGATTCTATCCACTTCCCCTGAACACAACGCGTCTGTATTGGGGCCGCACTGGGCTGGAAAGATGCTCGGATATATTCGTGATTGAGTTTTTTTTAAATTTTTTTTTCGTGGGAACGAAGTAATCATCGAACTTCGTGATCCTCTTCAAGAATTACTGAACTCGTGTGTTTCACCCATCCATACTGCTTTACCATCTCCTTGATTTTGGCTATGCCCTTTTTCTTTGGTTTTAATTTGGACCATTTCTCGATTTATGAGTGTCATCCTTGCGCAGGGGCCATGCCAATCTTCTCCGTATCGTTCCAATTTTAATGGAAGTCCCAAAGGACTCAATTTTGCCTTATGGTGTTTAGAGAGGTTGATTCTTACAAGACGACCGTGTTTTGTCTGGTCTGATGCTGCCTTTTATAGTAGAGGAGTCAAACTACCTTAATCTCCCAAATACAACTCCCTATCGTCATGAATGTATACAGGCTCAATGCCGGCCAAATAAGTGAATGCAAACAGGCTCTATCCTGGCCAAATGCAGTGAATGTGTACGGACTTCTTGTCCAAGTACAGTCTAGATAATAGTGAGTAATAGTGAGTTATGTTCTGTCGAATAAGGAAGTGCTTGAATTGACCGGAGCCTATTTCACTGATGCACCCATTTTATCGTAAAGGTTCAAACTGGGGTGCAAGTATGTCGCGAGTAGCCAGGCTCACCAGAGTGGGAACATTTCAGGAAGTGTGGTTCACACACTGTTTCTAACAGGCAGCGAAGAGGGTCAGTCAGTCAGATCCTGCGCAAGCTCTTATGAGCCTGTGGCTCAACGTACGTAGGGAGAAGGTTCGGAATCGGTCTGTGCTTTTTCTCATGGGTGCGCTGGACCCGTACACTGGACCAGTCCAGACGTCCGGCCGGACCTCTGTCTGGACTGCTCCGGACCATCCGGATTGAAAAAAATATATAAAAAAAAAAGAACGCTTTTATTTTTTTCCTTGGATTTGGCTTGGAATTTCGAGATGGTCTTCAGCCAAAAGATTTTTGTACTGCAATGTTGCATAACATATCTTTTTTCTGTTTTTTTTTCTGTTTTTTTTCTGATTTTTTCAAAAGTCGGAACTGTTTTAAAAGAGGGGGGGGGGGGGGGCAGGATCCGGACAGAGGGGCTGGACAACATACCCGGACATCCAGACCCAGACTGGCTGCACTGCTGTCCGGACGACCGGATCGTAGCCATGCCGTTTCTCCTTCGATCGTGTAACCTCGAACATAGGGAGAAGATTCTGAATCGGTCTGTCTGCTATTTCTCCTTCGATTGCATAACCTCCGAGATACCTTCCTAGCATAATAATACACAGCTACATCATGAGAGTCCTTGAGGTGAGGGAAGGTCTACAGTCAGCCAGCCACACATAATATAATGCCCACGGATGTATTTGGGGTGAAGTTGAAAACAGGTTGTACTTGGGGTGAATTGAACTGTTTTAAGACAATGAGAAGTTCATCTTTTTTTGAGGCACCGGGCATCAGTCAAGTTTGAACCAAATTCTATCATGTGAGGTGTCCCCTTCCTTCCATCTTAAATGGTGGCAAGCCCTTTCGAGCGAATCTTGGAACAGCTGTGACCGCCGCCAGCAACAAGTGAGCTATTGGGAAAGCCCTCGGAGGGAGACGACTTGAGGCCCGAACGGCACCGCAAAAATTTTATGTTGACCATCTGGAGATGACTCGCCCCTCCTATGCAAACCAGAAATCACCGAAAGCATGTGCACAGTGTCTGTAGTAACTCGAGTACAAGGGCCCAAAACTCACGCCCGGAACGTCCCCCTCGTCGACTACAAGGGGTCTGCATAAGCAGGCCGGCCCGATGATCTCATCATGTTTGTCGTTTTCTGTAGCGGGTGGGGTTCACAGAAGGGAGGATTGGTGGAAGGGAGGTGTTCCCCTCCCTCCCATCTTAGATGCGAGCAAGTCGTGGAACAAATCGTGGCACGAACCTGATGATCTCATCATGTTTGTCGTTTCTGTAGCGGGTGGGATTGATGGAAGGATTGATGAAAGGGGCGAGGGGGTATGCATCTACCAAGGGACAGTGAGGGGGTGCTTGACCGCATATTCCCATCCTGCTGTTTATTGGTATGGTAAGGGCTGTTGCAATTTGAATACATTGGGTAGGGGCTCTGTTGTGATTGAATGAAGGGGGTGATGATGCTGTCTTGTGTCTTGGCCTGTATCGGACTGAACGAGACTTCTTGGCAAATGGGAATGTTCTTGATTGAGAATTGCAGAGATGACTGCGATCTTGGTTTCAAACTAGTGCCATTGTTGGCTTCCGGAAAATGAGGGGCTAATCCCCTTCACACTGAAAGAATACGCTACTGCCATTGGACTGTCCATCCGATTGACCAACTGGAGAAGGGCAAGCCTCCTAAACAGGGGTTGTAACCGGTAGCAGTGGTTTGAGAGAGGAGCGTGTAATGTTTCTGCTGCCACGATCGTTTCCATATAACCGATGGCAGTGTTGATTGCGGTTTGGTGTTTTTTTTTGTCCTTTTGGGTTATTGGTGGGGCCAGTCGATGTTGTGAAACTTCAGTCCAGTGCAGGTCGCTTTTTTCGGGTGTGTTTTCTTTTGATGTCTTTCGTTATAGCCTGTCTGTTCTGTTATGTTTGTCTGCTCCTTGATTTGTTCTTCTTTTTTACGAGGTTGGTTGGCTTACTGATTGGTTGATGTGACCGCGTGGTGCTATTAAAGCCATCACTTGTATATAGTGTAGTGTTTGTGTTATCCTGTGTTCCTTGGCTGAATGATTCTGTGTCTTCAATGGAACTTTCCTGTTGAATATGGTGTCCGTGCAGCGATGGAAGACCGGCATCGGAATCAGTTCCAGAGTGGAGGAAGGATTCATGGAGATCAGGACAAGCGGCGGGGGGAGGGAGTGGAATTTTGCCAGATCAGACACCGCAAGGAGGACCAGGAATTGGGGGCGTTCGACGGAGAGGATTCGAGGATGACCCTGGAGCGGGGGGGGGAGGAGGTCCTCCCTTTCCAGTCAGCCATCCTCCATCGCGCATTGGACCAGGTGGAAGTGGTGCTGGAGGCTGGGATAAAGGACACCGGGGCGGCTTTGATAGGTTTGGATCAGGGCCTGGTCAGCGCTCTGGTCCTGGACCTGGAACAGGTGGAGGGCGCTGGGAACATCGCCCCGGTCCTACTGGAGAAGGGAGAGGATTTGCTCGTCAGCCACAGCAGCCTCGCGATCCGCCTGTGGAACTTGATGATGCTTCAGGTAAGCTCTCTCGCCTGGCAAAGATGTCAAAGTTATGAATGTTTTTCACCTTTCTTCATCCTTCCTCGTCGTACGTCCTTGTACCTTTGTATGGCTTTCTGTTTGTCTGCTTCATACGGTTGGACTTGGCTTCTCTCTCCCTAGTCTTGCCATCTTTTATCACGTTTTTTCTCTAGTGAAACTGTCGGCAGCCTGAGTGGTTTTAGGGTGTTTCAGTTGATTGTCATTATACTGAGTTTCGTCTGCTATTCCCTACACGCAGCCACAGCTGCGAGGAACCATGTAATGAGAACACCAATAAACCAGATCGTGCAATCTCACAGAAGACCAAACATGATTGAGCCGAGTTGAAAGCAGAAAACCAAAGCGCAACGCACACCAGCTAAGAGCAAACTCCGCTGCAGTCTCTTGATAAAGAAGGCCCATCATCCGCCTCTAATCATCAAAAGAAGAATGGTGTAGGGGCCCTACTTGCGGTGTGACCGTGCTATTATCTACTTCCTACTACCTATACCATGCTAGCCTATCTACAAGCCGACTTTCACTCCACTGTGTCTGTCGCGCAATGCTGCTTGAAGATTCGCTCATACAGGCTTCCTTCATGAACTCCAGGTAAGAGCCACCAGTCTCCACTGCCTTCCTTTGTCCCTGACCTCCGCACACTTCACCACTCAGACTTCCTGCACCCAGCTATACGTGCTACAGCCACCACAGCTGCTCTTCTTCCCTCGGGCGACATCCCTCCTCCAGCGCAGCAGCGCTCAGGCTTGCAGCCTATGGCCCGATTTCGTAAGGCTGCGAGGCCTCTAGACTTTTTTGATGGAGAAGAGGCTGCATCCAGGCTCTGCCCTGTCCCAATAGGCAGTGCCTCAGGCATAGTCGACCAGTGGACAGGTCCCAGCCTTAGCAACTCACTTGCGGACTGGCCCTACCAGGTAGTTGCTGAGTTTGGCTCCTGCCAACCAGCCTGAGGCCTCTCCGGCCTTCATTTGGGGCTGACGTGGAAATCACAGGCCGACCTTCACATATGGAGGCCTGGTCTTCTTGCTGAGTGCCTGTGGTCTTCTTGCTGAGTGCCTGGAACTGCCCGCTGAGGCCTGGAGCCTCACACAGCATGAAACTAGAAGCATATTCAATGACGTATACGACTCCGTATCTTGTTGTACGTTGTATTGTATATGCCTCTGCATCCTCTTGAAACCTAAAAACCCTTTACCTCTCTCGGCTATTTATCCGTCTGTTTGTCTGTCTATGCCTCTTTTTCTATCCCGTTTCCTCCTCATGGACCCTCATTGTCTGATGTTTGTCTAGTTGGAGTAATTGGTAGGCTGTGGCTGCGCATAGGGCTTACACCGCGCATGTTTGTTGGTTGGTACTCATGGGGGAGTCCGGTAGGTCACTTCTTCGCTTTGCTGTGTTGTCCATTTTCTCACTCCGTTCAGCCTCTCATAGAAGTGAAGATGTTCCTTGACATATGGCACGACAATGAGAATGGTTTTCAACAATGATGGTTGTCATTTTGTTGAGAGTCTGCTTTGCATTTGAATTTGATTGCTGGGTATGTTCTTCCATGTGATGTGTGTTTGTGCAGGGGAAAATATTGTCCTCGATAGGAGAGGGTTCAACCAGGGAGGTGTATCTTTAAGGCCTGGATGGGGTGCTGGGGAGCAGCATTCAGACGGTTTGCTAGGTGGTGGTGGAGCAGGCCGGGGCCGTGGTGAATTCCGATTCGGGGCAGGGAGAGGTGCACCAGGAGATCGATACCAGCCAGTTCGCCCAACCCCAATAAAGGTTTGATGAACACTGGTCTTTCCGTCAGCACATACTCGAATTGTGGTCTAAGAGTCGTTCGCTTTCATTGAAACATAACCATTTATCGGAAGGGATGTTTAAGACCCTTCATTTGTTGCACTATCATGATGAAAAATGCATAATTTCAATCCCCTCCCGATCGGTGGGTATGCCACAAAAGTTTGGCGGTCAGGGTCCATGGCCGTGCGGACGGTTCGGAAAACACCAAACTGTCTGAAAGTTAAAGGGTGTTGAAATGGAAGGGTCAGGAAGTGTGGTATGAGCGAAAAGAGTGACGGGAAATTAAGCGAAGTTCCTTGTTTTGTATTGCAAGTATTTGTGATGAGAGGAAACCCAATGCTGCCAAAGATAGTGGAATGTTATGTGGAACCCGTTTTGGGGGATGGATGTCTAGACCTTCTCATATCCCTGCAAGGTATGCCTAAGAAACTAGCAATATTCATGATGGGCATGTCTAAGGAAACTTATCGTGGGACGAACTGTAGTAGTAGCACCCAGTTGGTATACACCACTAAACTGTTGAGATACAGATGCAAATTCGAATCCAAATGCCATCAGATGATTAGACTGCAATAATTCTTAATTTTTCATGGGGCTGGTCATTTCGATGATATGATATCTCAAGGCCATCGCCCTTCTTTATTAAAAAAAAGGAAAAATGAAACTTAGTGTGTGCTATGCATGAAAAGCTCCTACATATCTTCTTTCCCCCCCCAAAAAAAAGCTCTTATATATCTGCTTTCATCGGCATCTCTGTCTCATCAGCATCTCTGTCAAAGTTTCCCACTATGGCTGAAATACGTTTTCCTTGAGATTGTGATTGACAATAATATTTGCTTCATTAAATCAGCTGCTTGGGCTGCGGCAACATGTCCGTTTTTCAATGGCATTCTGAGAGTTACAAAACCGGTTGGTTTCCCCTCCTTAGTTTACCCTTCGGATCCACGGTTGTCTTGTTGAAGCTTTCTGCCTGTGCAAAGGGGCTCCCCGTTGGCGAATGTTATTGTGGGTTCTCACTGCACCATAGATTCATCATGCAATTCATGCTCCAGATGTAATCAAGACTAGCGTTTAGGAAAGAGTTTTGTGCAGTGGTTTGGGTATTGTTTGATTCCTTTTGGACTCATCCACATCTGCTCACTGGAGCCTGATGCAAGAGCTGGATGTGAGTGCTCATGAATGGTTGACTTCTGTACCCTTGCCTTCGGAAATATGCCCAAAGAGACCCTTTTTCCGTCTTCATCGTGTGTTTGTATCGTATGAACACTCTGCCGGGTCCTCAAGGGTGATTGAGAGATGGAAATGGTTCTGTTGGAATGACATTGCGCTTCTTGTCACTAGTTATTGACTCTAGCTTTCGTGGTATTGTCTCTCTCAGGAGCCGATAACTGTGTATGATGAAGCTAATGACGAGACGTTCGGTTCCCTGGAATCCAGCAGTACTGCAAATCCGGAGCTGGAAAGAAAACGCCGAGGTGAGCGCATGAAATATGTAACCCACTTCCCCTGGCCCAAGCTGGCAGCTCGAGTTTTGATGCCAATCTGTGAACTGTTAGGTCATAGAACTTGTGGAAGAAGGGAGCAACATACAGCAGAGCTTTGGGTCTGACATGGATTCTTGGTTTCAGAGAGAGAGACCTGCAGATGATCATCGGGAGGAATGCAGCTGTGAGTACCTGCCTGCGATTTATAGAGTTAGTGCAATTGTGAGAAACTTTGTGAGCAGAGGTGAGCGACAATGCAAGAGTTTGGGTAAAGAGCTTCCTATCTCACTGTTTGCATGGAAACAGGTAAAGTTAAGGTGTTCTTCAGCCTGTTGTTGTTCACTATGATGGAACGCAAGGCAAGGCTGTTGTGATACTTCTGAGACCGTTTGGGCCTGGTTGGATCCTTCATAGAGAAGCAGTCACTTTTCTCCTTGTGGATTGACCTAGCCCCCTCCTCTAACAGCTGCCAGATGGAGAACCAACATGTATGTGCACTTGCTTTCACCTTCCGCGGGAATATCCTGCTGTCGTGGCTCCTTCCTTATCCAGGTTTCACCTTTCCTTGGTGACACCCTCCTCTCCGCAAACTCGTACGGAATGTCTTCCATTCTTCATCTTTCTCATGGTTCATTTTCATGCCCCTTTCTGCATGCCAACATCGGCAGATGTATGCCATCTGACCATCTTGATATGAAATGCCAGCATGTTGATTGGGGTTCCCGGCTGAGGGGTTTTGATGTGTGTGGTGTGCAATTGATTTATGTTATTCCGTGTGGATCCGTAGGGAAAGACTTATTCTGTTCATAACAATCTAGATATGTGGAAGACCACCACATTTCTTGTCAAGCCCACATTCCGACAAAGCCTGGTAGGTGCATGTGGCTGGAGTCTTGGCAGGCAGTGGCTGTGCATGTGTGTGTGTGTGTGTGTGTGTGTGTGTGTGTGTGTGTGTGTGTGTGTGTGTGTGTGAGAGAGAGAGAGTCAGCAGGTGGCACCACAGCGTTATAAAGCCTGTGATACAGAGAGGTGGATAGCATCATGCCACAATTTTGCTGCAGCAGGTGGTTGTACAGAATTATAAAGCCCAGGCACTACACAGCGTGACAGTGCCATAAAAATTGAGGTGGGTGGCCTTTCTTTAAGATCTCAATGAGCTGGCTGCAGACACAGAGAGAGAGAGAGAGCTGGAACACTCACCAAAGTTTTTGCAAGTCGAATGATTGTTTGTCGAGTAATGTGCATTGTGAAGCTACTAGTTTACATTTACTGTGAAAAACATTGTCGACAACGAGATAGTGATGTTCTCTTCTGCTTTTGCATTTGTTTGCTAAATGTATGTCCTCCTTCCTCTTTTGTCTTCTTCCATGGTTGCTGAATGAGGTTGGTCAGTTTGGTAATGTGGAGCGGCATCAGTGACAATGGCACGGTCCTCGTTTCTAGTGCAGCCGAATATGGGTGATGTTCTTGATATCTAGTGCAATAACACTTTTTGGTATTGCCGTGCTTAATGCTGCAGAGGAGTTTGAACAGATGCGGGAGCTTCAGCATCGACAACGCCTTGCTGCTGAGCAGCAGGGTGTGCGCAGTGCAGATGTTAAGACTGAGCGACGCAAGTATGATGAGCAGACCCTTTGGGATGGTGACAATGGATTGGGAACTGATGGTGATGAAAGAGAAGGGAAGGCAAGTGCTGGAATACTGGGGCCCAATGGTACACTTGGACAAGGAGCATCTGATGCCGTGAGCTCATCGCAATCAGTTCCTGCGTCTCGGCCACTCAGAGCAGCAGTTCCACCCGGTTTTGAGAAAAAGCAGGCAAATGGATCCTCCTCAGCTGTTGGCCCGGTATGGTCCCACTTTCTGGCTGTTACTTCCCCTTGTCTAAATCTCGGCTCTTGTTTGAGTGCTGCATGTTTTAACTGTTTTGTTTGTTAACTGATTGACAAGGATGCCACGTCCTGTGTGGATGCTTTGTCCCCTCTGATGTGTCATGTGTGCCTGTGCGTGTGGTCTTTGTATGTGTGTGTGGGTGGTGCGTGTGTTTGTGTGCATGTCCGGTGTGTGTAGGTTTGTGTGTGCACTCATGTACGTGTCTTTATTTGGAGGAAGCTCTATGGCTGCAATTGGACAAAGGTCGCGTCTCTCGGTCTTAACTGAAATAATGAAGCCCAGAGAAGTGCACAGAAAGGGGAAAGGAAAGAGATTTACACAGAAAGAATAAAGGACAACTGTGGTTTAAACAGAGATAGGTAGGTGGAACTCAATGAGAGAGCACAGCACTGGCTGAGCAGGATTTATAAGTTTATCGAGGGTCACATGAGGGCACACTCGAAATGCAAGGCCAATCTTATGGGGAAACACGTGAAGAAAGCTGCAGAAAAAGAAACGTGCACAGATCAAGGGAATACTTCTGCGAGGCACTGATAAAACGCTGTGGGCAGAAGTGGACACAAAAAAGCCGCGAGGAGACGTACATAGAAAGCTTCCCGGGTCAGTCACACCCAGATGGAGGGTGGCGTAAGAAGTTTGGCACTGACAATGCTGATTAAAAATCTTGGTCCCCTCTTGAATTCGTCCTTCTACTAACCGCTCTCCAATGGGGGTCCGAGATCTCTGTCTTCAAGAGTGGCACTCTCCAACAACGTGATACAGAGCTGTAGGAAAATCCGCACAAATAGGACTCCATACTTGGTTACCAGACGCTATGGAGACCCCCCCTACCCCCCCAAGTATCAGGTCTGATTCATGCAGCTACTATGGTATGGTGACAGAAGGTGTTTTCATGATGGCAAGGGGGTGTTCTCCCTTATTTGAATACCCCAGTATTACCCAAGGTTTTAATTGTGATTACTTTTGTGGGTTGCCAGATACAGTGCGGTGGCATCCTGGCAATACCAGTTGCTCTTGCACGAGGGAGTGCCCTTGAATTGGATACAATCAAGGGCTGACATAAAGTGCATTTCTCTGGTGGCAATGCATTTCTCAATAGTTTTGATGTTATTTTAGCCGTGCTTATCATTGTTTAAGACCTCTGGTGGCTCCCTATTAAGAGCGAGAATGTATAGAACTCTGAAACATTATCAGTATGAAGTACTATGAACTGCCTTTGTTCTGTGTCCTTTTTCGAATCTGTTTTGAGCTGGATCGTTCAGGTGCTTCATTGTCTACCGCTCTTTGTGAGCAAAGGATTTGTGTTGCTCCTTCAGGTGATTGATTGTTTGCCGCTCTTTCTGTTGCGAATTCAAGGTGGTGGTGGTTTGCGTCTGCTCTATGGTATGGGAACTTCCTACACTAATCTGTGGTCTTCTCTCTTGAGATTTGACACTTTACTGGATGGTTCGTTTGATTTTGTTCTGACAGAGCAGCGTATGATGGTTTTGTTGGTGTATTCCACAGGTTGATGCAAAAAGTGATAGCATGGATGCTCGGCCTGTCTCATCGGACTCAGGGACTGAAAGAGAGAATGCCTCTCCGAATGGAAAATCTGATGCTGAACTGACTGCTTCTTCCAGAGAGAACCATACAGAAGGGCTCGCTGCGGAATCGGCAAAGAAAGAGCAACAAACTGTATCATCCGCTGCAGTCGAAAGTCAGAAAACGGATGTCATCTCTTCCTCTGACTCTACATCACCCTCACCTGCAACAAGTAATGTAATTTCTGCAAGTGCCCCGGGAACGTCAAAAGCTGTGGGTCCAGGTTCACGCCAATCCTCTGGGATTCCCTTTCCAGATGGAATGTGGAATGTAGGCTTGCTTTTTGATCCATCTCCTCTCCAGAGTTTCCTCAAAGGAGCTAAGGCGGGCGATCTGAAAGGCCTGGAAAATGAGGAGTTGCTGGCAGCTTTTACGAGGCTTAGGGACCAGGGAGACCTCTTCCTTCCTGAGGAAGGTGACAACAATCCAAAAGTCAGTGACTCGCTATTGGACAAACTTTTTCAAAATGCGAAGGCTGATCAACTCAAGTCGTCAAGTGTTGCGCCTGCAGACGATGATAAGGTGTGGGTTCTATGCCTTCACACAGAATGATGGTGCAGGTCTTTCATAACCTGTTTGAGGTTGTATGGTTGTCAGTGTTACGTCCAAGTGGACGTGTTGTCACTCTATAGCATACTTGCGGCGCATTGACGTGCGCTGCACCGCGCACACGCGCCGCACTGCGCACAGCGCACGACGCGCGCGCACGGGGTGTGTAAGGGATTGAGCGGAAAAAAAAAGAAAGGTTGGGGAGGGTTGTTTTAGACCCGAGTGGGATGTCGTGTCATAAACCACAATATATTGACAAAAATTTGAGGCTGCGCGGGGCCTCCAAAAAAAAAGGAGGGAAGTTCGTTTTTTTGTTTGTGTGTGTGTGTGCGTGTGTGTGTGTGTGTGTGAGAGAGAGAGAGAGAGAGAGAGATGGTGGGAAGAGGGAGAGAGTAGCAATGGTGGATGGCAGAAGGCGGGAGAATGGCCGAAGGTGGGATGGTGGGAAGCGGCGGAAGAAGTCGGGAGGGGGGAGAGAGAGAGAGAGAGAGAGAGAGAGAGAGAGAGAGAGATGGTGGGAAGAGGGAGAGAGAAGTAGCGATGGTGGATGGCGGAAGGCGGGAGAAAGGCCGAAGGTGGGATGGTGGGAAGTGGCGGAAGAAGTCGGGAGGGGAGAGAGAGAGAGAGTAGCGATGGTGGATGGGGGAAGGCGGGAGAAAGGCCGAAGGTGGGATGGTGGGAAGCGGCGGGAAGAAGTCGGGAGGAGAGAGAGAGAGAGAGAGAACAAAATCAAATGAATCCACCGCTAGAACATGGAAATATACATTGCGCACATGCGTGCAGCACACCAGACGTGCACAGCACTGCGCACCCAGATGCGCGGCGTGCACCGGTGAGCGCGCACCCTGAGTCCGTGCGCAGCGCACAGTGCCGGTGCGCCGCAAGTATGCTCTATAGATAATGCCTGGCTTTAATACACCGGCATGATATGGAAGGCAAATGTTTTGGCATGTTATGGAATGCAAATGTTTTGGCATGTTATGGAATACAAATGTTTTGGATCCGCAATAGCCGATTTCAATTATGACTCTTTTGAGCCTTTTGATCTGGCAGTGGTTTGGCGAACCAGAAGCGAACTTTTAGGGGGTTGTGGGCAAAACTAAAACTGGTGCCTTTTTATGGACATGTAGTTCTCAAGCTGCAATGGTGCAGCTATCATCCGATGTCTCGGGGTCAGACCCCTTTGATGCTAGGTTCATCCTAGGAAAGTATGAACCTGGCCGTCATGTCACGGCTACTTTCATGCTTTCCAAGCATGAACATGGCACCAGTTGGGCATAGCCTTGCTCAACATGTGGATGTCTGTACTAGTCATGACCGTTACCCTAGAACTGATTAAGATGGCTCAAGTATGTATGATGTAAACCCTAGAAACTAAAGTAGGCATTCCAGTTTCTTTCTTGGCCATCTAGATGTCCAAACTTAGCGATGACGGTTATGGAAGTCCTAAAATACTGGCTCAGATAAGCATTCTCCACATCTACAAAAGTACTACAAACTGGTGATGGTGCTGCTTGGAGGTAATTGCACTCGTGTCTCAGGTGCACGCAGGTTCTTGGGTGCTGCAGCAACCGTCTGGTCTGCAACTCGTGTCTATTCAATAATCGTCTAAGCTCGGAGGTAATTACACTTGTGTATCAGCTCCCCAGGTTTCTTGGGTGATGCACCATCCATCTGCTCTGGAACTATCCAATAATCGTCAGAGTTTTGCAGCCTGCATACCTGAAACTGCAACTGGAGATGTGAACCATTTCATGGTTGCACAGCATAAAGAAACCTCTGGGGTGACAGGCTTGGGGTTGCCACATACTGCAAAGGATGATCCAGAGTGAGACTGGCGCGGTCGACTGAGTGACCACTTATTTCGTTCAAGCCTCCAGCTCACATATGTAGAACACGCAGAGACTGACTGTCAAACTATGGCCGAAGTGGATCGGCGATTCAATGGTGATGTTTATCAGAGAATGGGTCGTAAATTCTCGTAACTGTTCAATTATGCTATCTACTATGATGCTGTCCAGTCAGACAAGGTGATCTGTTTATCTTTCCTTGAAGTTGTGCCTTCCCGTATACCTTCTCCTGTCTGTCAGGCCTCTTCTACATCTTGTTGTTATCCTGCATGCCAAGTGCTGTTCTATAGTGTATGACGAGAGTCGATTCATATATACCTGCCTACACACTCCATAGGTAACGTTACTCCGGTGTCGTATTTCGTCTGGCCTTCACAGATGCCAAAGGATGAACGGTGGACCGGCGGGGGGACAAGCTCGAAGTTTGAGAGATGGTTTAAACAACCAGGTGTGTATATTACATACACCGACTTCCAGGGCCGCTTTGTAGTGTGCTGACTCTGCTGAGCCATTGCCAGTGGTGTCGAAATCACATGTGATCAGTGAAAAAAGTTTCTAACTTTTTCTAATGAACCTTGAAACTTTTTCTTTCAGCTGCAAGTAACAAGTACAAAGGGATTGTGATGTCCAGTTTGCTCGTCCCGTTGTTGTTTATGCATGTAGCCGCTGTGTTTGCGAATGGATTAGCTTCAATTAATTACGAGGATAGTGTTTTTCTTAGCAGCGCTCACGTCAGCCTTGATTAATTAAAGCCAAGAGAGCCTTGGGCCAGCCAACAGAAGCAGTGTGCCCATGGCTCCATTAATGAAAGCTTGACACGGGTGCTGCTTTTTCTTGACTGGCCTATGGCCATCCTGGCTTGCTATTCTTGTGCAGCGGGACGACTGTCCGGATCTGAGCTGTAACACTCTGGGGTAACTTTGAAGTGTGAACTCTGGCCTTTGGTCGCTTGTCGTTAATCTGTTGTTTTGTGGTTCATCTGTCCCTCTGCGGCTGCGATGTTTGCTTTGTCCTTCACTGGCTTGTGGAGAAGAGAGTGTAGACTCGGGTTAGTACAACCTCTTTTTCCTTAGCAAATGGCCCATTATTAGTCTGTGGGAGGAAGGGTGGTCCTACCGAGCTTTTTTGCTCGAGCATGGTGCTCGCTTAAACTCGGTCTGACTCGCTTCGATTTTCTCGTTGTCTTTTAGCTTTTTCCATCTGTCCGATTCTGTTGTCGCTTTTCTGTGCCCTTCAGTCCTGATGATCCTGATGGCGAAAGCTTCTGATAAGCTGCTTGCTCGTTATCCCAGCATAGTTTCCTCTCCCATTGCAGGTTGTTGCATGAGAAATGTTTGTCCTCCCCTTTGGAATATGTCTGGCACTTTGGGAAGAAGGTGATATAGGTGAAATAGGAAGTACCACTCGCACCTTGCTGTATCAGCTTTACCCACCTGTGGTGGACCTCTGCCCATATGTGGTCTATCAAATATCACTCGACATCCAAGTCCTACTTGATTATGCGAAATGGGTACCAGGGCCCCCAAGAAAACAAGGACTGATGCCTTCTCTGAATGTTGTCCAAACTTTATGCAGGCTGCTATTCCCTCCCAATTTTTTCCATCACTCCCTCAGACCCCCATTGCTGACCTCGCCCCAGTCCTACTTTCTCCCTCGCCCTTCAACAACCCTTCTCCAAATGTCTCTACGCGACGGACTAACTCAAGTAAATGATGAGTGTTGGTCTACGCCCGGTGGTCTTGGGCGGCAATTCAACGAGGGACCTAGCTAACGTGTTAAACACTCCGACTGAGAAGTACGGTAGCAAGGCTGAAACTCAAAGGAATTGATGAGGGCTGCATGAGTGGTGGAGCATGCGAAGTTGAACTCCTCCTAACCTCTCTTTTATTCCTTCTTTTCATTTTGGACCATTTGTTGATTTGTGTGTCCTTCGTGCGCAGGGGCCATGTCAATCCCCTCTGTATTGTTCCAGTTTTAGAGGATGTCCTGAAAAAGACAACTACCTGATGTCTAGTTTCCAAGCCTCCTCATTTTTCCCATACCGTTCCCTTAGTTATCCGAAGGTTGACAAGGAACGTTGAATCGATGCAACCGAAGGTGGAGGAATGGAAGAAGAGGAACAGGATACGATGATGATGATGATGATGATGATAATGATGGGGTTATTGATGATAATCATAATCTTGGTTTTGATACCCGACTGTGATGACGATGGAGACGAGGGAGATGATGATTACGCTACCAATGAAGTTTGATAATAGCTCAGTTATCTGGCTCCATACTAGCATGAATGGGGTTGGGCCTCTAGTGTTCCGGCGGCTCTCGGGGAGGAAAAACTGTGCTGCACATGTAGGGGATGAGCACCAGTCTTTGTTGACTGTTGTGAAAGACCGTCTTTTGTGCTAATCCATTGCAACTGCAGCGTTGGAAGGCGCTAAGAGCCTTGGAAATACAAAAATGGTCATTGAGATCCAGTGCGCAGTATGTTCCATTCAGATATGGGGCATCATCTACAACTGCATTGAGATCAACAAAATGCTTGACTGAATATCAGTTCTAGGTTTACCCTGTTTGCATTCGACTGACTGAAGATTGAGGACTTCTGTTGCTAGCGCTTGAAGACCACCACCTTTGCTGAGGTGGTTTCCTGAACGCGGGCAATCCAGCTCTACCCCACCGAGTTCTGTATGCCTGGGGGCCTACCCACCTCTGTTGTCCAGGTATGGTTTGCATGTTCCACGATATGATGGGTCTTAGTTTCATCTCCTTGCATGCCGATTGTTGATCCGGATCTGTACTGGTGTCTGTTAGCCTGTTATGGAGAGGAAAATGTGTGAGGGAGGTATTTGAGCAGGATGTTTGTTTGTGAAAACAATAGGTGGAAGAATTGTCTTGTCCCTTCCTGTGATGATCCATGTTCCAGCTCTTTGTGGTTTTGCAGACTGACACTGTGAATCCGTTGTCAATCGTTGTTGTTGCAGGCCGTGATGCCATGGTATCATCCACCCAGGGTTCAGCTGAAAGCACTTCTGGTTCGCCCTTAGAGTCCACAACTGCATCAGCAAATCTCTTGTCGCTTTTGACAAAAGGAAGAACAGATGCACGAATGTCCCCTCTACCGAGCCCCAGTCCGAGTGTCCCGACGCCCATCTCACCGCAGTCTCCTTCCCAGCCATTGTCACTGCTGTCCCTCCAGAGTGGGGCTGCTCGGGTTTTGCCTATGCCACAGGGCCCATCTCTGGAAGCTATTGAGCAAGCAATGGCCGCTGAGGCAGCTGTAGGAAACAGAAGAAAGGATCCGAAGAAAGCAGCAGATCTTCAGCTGCAGCTTGACATGTTTCTACAGCAGCTGGAAAAGGCCCGTTTGCAGAATCTTCAAGGCAGTCCGTCCAATGTGATACGATCACAATTGCAGCTAGAGGCGGAGAACACTTTTTCAGGACGGCTTGCGGATCTCTTGGGTGTCAAACAGAGTGAGCAGCACGTGAGTGGCAACAGCTGGAAGGCAGGGAACAGTGCTCGTGATGTGAATGGAGTAGAGGGTGTGAATGCTAGTCAGGGTGTTGGCCAGGATGGGCAGCCACTTGTCCTAACCTGTCAGCACCTTGAGCAGTCCATTCTTGCAGAGGCTGGTGCGCGTGGTATGCGGGACATGCAGGCAGTGCGGAATGCGATGCCCGGGTTAGTGGATGTATCCCGAATGATGATGCTGATGTCATCATCAGAGCGTCGAAGCATTGCATCACAGCACTTGTTAGCGCTTCTTCACCGAACAGGATCTGCACAGAGTATGGCTCAGAACGCTGCTAGGAGAAGCACTGCGGCAAAGGTGATGCAGTCTTTGTCGGGGCCTGGCGGTGGTGGATTTGGACCTCAACAAGTGGCTGGAATGGCACCGCTCACTCCAGGCTCTGGAATGCGACCTGGTTTATCCCCCACAGCTGGAGCGGCTTCAGGAACAGGTCCTGGAACCCCTGGTGGAGGCAGTTTAAGGTCTGCAACGAGCATCGTTCCTATCAGTGTGCTTGTGAACAATGCGGGGGAGTGTCTACCCAATAGTGGCACAGGTCCGCCTACAGGTGCGCAGTGGGCAGCATTTTCGAATGGTGCAAGGCCACCGCTTGGTGCAATTGGGCCAAACACTAGGCCCCTGAATAACAGCGCTTCGAGGGAGCAAAGCGGTTTTGCACATGAGGGTGAGATGCGAGGTGGCGTGCCATGGTGTCTCATTCCACCACAGGTCGATCAAGGACAGCTCAGGCAAGGGAACGAGAGGGGTCCAAGCCCTCAGGGGATGGGGGGAAAACATCCTGGCATGCAGCATCAGAACTTGTCGTCTTCAGGGGGACCTCTGTATGGTTCTGCAAATCAGCAAGGAGGTCCTGGCATGACCCGCCTTTCTAATAGCGTTGGAGGTATCGAGCGTAAAGTTGGCCTCGGGGGTATGGATGGGCCTCAGCCTCCTCATGGGATGATGGACCGGGCCAATGAGCCGCCAGGTGGAGGTCCTGGCATGAAAGACATGGGACCTGTAAATGTTGCCATGTTTTTTGATAAGTATAGAAAGAATGCCGGTATTGCTCAGGGCATGGGAAGTCCTCTGGGCCCTATGAGGGATGTTGACAGGGGGGGACATCCAATGGAGCCACCGTCGATGATGAAACCTATGAAATCAGGTGTATCGCTGGCCATGGCGAATCGGGGTTTGTTGAACCCACTTGGAAAGTCCCTTGGTGCCGGCGACGCAAAGGGAGATGACATGCTGGCGAACATGAGTAGACTGTCTGCATCGGGGGGCAGTGTTCCGCGGATGATGGGTGAACCAGGCGGAATGAATCGGCCGGTGCACGGAATGGGAATGGTGGGTCCGGGAATGCAACCAGGTCCTGGAGTCGGACTGACAGGTATGCTTGGCATGCCACATGGTCCACCAGGCATGGGAATGGGTGAGAGAGGTGGGAATGGAATGGTAATGCATTCGGGACCACCCATGGGCTCAATGAAGCCGCCTATGCCACCTGCGCCTCCAGGTGGGCAAGGAATGCTGCCCATTCTGTCGCCCCAACAACAGCAGCAACTGATGAACTCCTCACTCATAAGGTCACAGTCACCACCCCCTCTCCTGCCAATAAGGTCACAACACCCATCCCAGCCCATGCCCCAGCCAGGCCTGGGCCCTTCGGTCCATCACCAGGGAGCCCCTCCCCAGCAGCAAATGCGCCCACCACAGGGAAATCCCATGCAGCCCCAGCAACAGCCCCCAATGCAATTCAGCAGGGGGGGATCCATGGATGTGCTTCCCCCAGGCCCAGTATTTCCTCCCATGGATGGTATGGCTCCAGGTGTCCAGGGACCTTTCAACCACAATGGTCCTGGACCCTTCCCATTCCCGCCACCACATATGATGATGAGCCAGGTGCCTGGATCCCAACCGGTTGGGTTTCATCATGTGGGGGGACCGCCAGTGCCCTCCCACATGGGACAAGGTGGACCCCCCCCTCCGATGGGTGGTGGTATGCACCAGCGAGGAGCTTTTTTGCCTCCGGGGCCGTTTATGCATGACCACAGCCAACCAGACCTCCGGGGATCTCAGGGGCAACAGGGTGGAATGGGGGGACTGTACCCAGGAGGCGGTCCTGGACACGGAGGCCCACCTATGCCTCAAGGTGGTCCTTTCAACCATCAGTTTCTGCAGCAGCAAGGTGTTCCACTCCCTCCGGGGCAGCAGATGCACGGTCAAAGACCCGGCCATATGGGTCCAGTTGGGTTCTCGGCACCGGGGCCACACTTTCCCTTGGATGTGAAGAATGGTGAATTCGGTGGTGGGTTCAACAACAGCACTGGAAGTGGAAACGGTGTTGGGGCAGGAGGGGGGGGTGGAGGAGGGGGAAATAATGCAGGCTTGGAGAGGTGGTTTGGTAATGAGATGTTGTCGCATATGAATAGACAGCATCTCCCAGCAATGCCCGGTGGGCCGATGCAGCAGATGGTGCCTTTGGACGAGCTGGAGCGCAAAATGCGCCTCCCGTAAGGAAGGGTCGGTCTTCGTTCTAGGTCTTCATCTTTAGCGGATCCCATTCATGGATGTCGTCGTTGCCTGAACAGATGGGGAGCGGTGCTGCTCATTGGTAGAACTCCAGGCAGGGAGTGAGTTTTGCGTTGGGTGCTCACATTGCATCCATGTGTTGTAGGATGACCCAGAGAGAGATTCTGAGTGGTAATGTGTGTAGTGAGTGCAAAATGCATTTGTTTGCATTTTGGATGCGCCATTTATATTTGGCCGATCTAGAGACCCAGAGGGGGGGTGGGGAAGGGGAAAGAGGGGGGGGGGGGGGGGGGGGGGGGGAAGGGAGAGGGCTGTTCGCGTAGCATGTCGGCAGAAGTCAGTGTAGGGCTTTTTTTTCCATGCATGGTTTGCAGCTGTGGCAGCAGACCTTAGGGTTGGCGGTGCACGGAAACCATTTGTGACTGATCTCGACTGTGGTGTTTTAAGTAGCCGCAACAGTCATAACCCTAAGCTCATCATCCTAGAACGTGCTGCTGTTATGAGCAGTAGAGCCGGTAGTAGTAATAGGAGAGTAGCTAGCTTTGGAACTTGGGAACGTTTGTCGTAGAAGCAGGAAGGTAATCTGTTGAAGCTGGATCTCTTGTTCAGTTTGGGTATTAGGACGTAAGGTCGTTAGCGTTGTGCCAGCTTCTTGTTTGGTATCTTTAGGGTAGTAGAGAATAGCATTAACTCATCCATCTTAATTTGGGACATTTTCAAGGGAGAGAAGTTCAGTCAGAGAAGACAGTTTTCTAGTAGGATGAGGGGAGGGAGGGAGGGGGGTTCGTTCGGTCGATCTTTTGCCTTTGTTTGTTTTGTCTGTTTGTTTCGCAGTAGAGGATACCATTTTTTTAAAGGTGGATGGGAGTTTAACTGAGAAAAAGGTTTCGACAGGGATATGGTGCGGAGATTATGACGATGATAAGGGTTGATTTTTTCAAAAAGAACCATGTGTTTCTTGTTTCCCAACGCAACCTGGGTTGTGTACGAGGAGCGAAGTAGTCTTTTCTCGCTCAAGTAGTCTTTTCTCGCTCGCACAGACGAGTACTTGACTTCTTGTTTGACCATGAGGGTAGATATCTCATCCCTTGATTCCCCTTTGAATTTCCTGTTGCCGACAGGGTCCTTGCGATCGGATGGGGACAGACGGTGGGTTTTACTCTGTGCAGCAGCTGCAGAGGTAAAGCTGTTTACTGTTGTTCGATTTTCTCGTGATCACTGCTGCTCCTGCTGCTGCTGCTGTTCCGGTCGCGATTGGAGTATACCATCCATACGGCCTTAGGTTGTTTTGCGAGTGATGGTATGCGTCTGAATCCTGGAGCCAAGCAGTGTCTGTTTGTCCGCTTGAGTATTGGAAAGGCAGCCAAGCAGGAAGGTGATGGTTGACAGTGGCGTTGCCTCGCATGTGCTCTCAAATGATGCCAGTCTGCACTTGGGGGGGG